GAAAAATGTAAGGGGGTCTGAATACTTTCCGTACCCACTGTATATATATATATACACGCACATACATACTGTGTATATATAATATTATAGAAAAATTCTAATATTATAATTTATAAATATTATATTTAATAATAAATATTTAAATCACTTACCATTTGTTGAAAAAGCAACAAAATTCATTAATGTTTTTAATAATTGCAGTCCCTATTTCTAGCATTTTTCTGAAGGAAGCCAGATGCATACTATATCTAATATTTATATAGAACTTTAATAAGCAACATTTTTATATTTTTATAATATATCAATTATATTAAGTATGAAATTATAATACATAGTTTTTTTTTATTTCATTGCCCCAGTATTTGTTGAAAAAGCAACAAAAAATGTCAGTTCCTGTTTTTACCCTATTCGTGCAAGATGTCCGATGTATAGATGAGAGATGGACAGACAGTGAGAGAGAGACTGATATGCCTGAGATCTGCTCATCTTCAACACCTCTCCTCCACAGGTGGCTATCTCATACTAGTTTCTCTTGCTTGCTGATTTTGGCTTGTAGCTTTTGTCCTAACATACCCTTTACAGACTTTTTAGAAAAAGACAGAAAGATCCCTGACACATCCAGAAGCTTTCCATGTACGTCGTGGCTGCTGTTTCCCAGCCTTACAACAACAGCTCAGCGAGTGAATGCAAACAAGACCTCTACACTCAGCTCCAACATTTCATATCAGAACTATTTTCTTTTTGATGGGGAATGTGTTTCGCCCTCCCCTGACGCTCGGTCCCATTGGAAACCGTGCACATACACACACACACACATTTTACAAAACATTTGGCAGTGTTGTTTAAAATATGTTACAAAAAAAAACCTGTTGCAACTGCAAACAGCACGTCTTTCATTTTGTCACTCGGCACCACACATCTGCACGAAAACAATTCACAGATAAAGGCCGAAGTGACAGTGTGACATCATTCAACAATCCTTCAATCTGTCTATCTGCTGGATTATAACTCAAAGTCTTACAAAAGACTCCTCTGACACGTAATCAGTCATAACTGTTATTCTATGCCATATGACAATTTCATAATGCATGTAAATAATCAGCAGGATCATGCATGCCTTTCACAAATACTTTAAACACCTAGTATGTACTGTATCTAATACACCTGAGTTCCCGGGGAGCCACACCTATAGGCACTTTGCACAGAGTTTAAATCCATCTGTAAATAAGACTAAGGGCACAACTGTATGAAAAAAAAAATACATGCGTGCAATATTATGTGACGTTGATGTTGCTATTTATTTAGACATTTGTTTTGAAATATATCTTCAATACAGCTTTACTATCGAAGCTCATTCCTGCCATGAAATAAAATAAAACAGTTTTTATCTAACTTTTTATCTCATATAGTTATGACTTCTTTTTCTCGCAATTGTGAGTTTATATCTCGCAATTCTGACATATATGTTTTATATTGAATTCATTTGGACTTTTGAAATAAAGTCAGAATTGTGAGAAAAAAGTCAGAATTGCAAGACATAAATATATATATACATACATACATACATACACACACACACATACATATATATATATATATATATATATATATTCAGAGTTTTGTTCTCACTATTCTGAGATCAGATCTCACAATTCTGACTGGAAATGGGCTTCCATTTTTGATTGTTTTATTAACAGTTTACAGGTAATTATAGAATCAATCAAATGCAATGAAATGGAATAATCCATTTTGTTCAAAGGACAAGTATTGTTTTGATGCCAGTGTACTTTACCTTGGTTACAAAAAGGCTCTCATTGTGGAGATAAACAAAGTAGCAAACAAAAACCCACACATCTTCACCGACATCCATTTAACCTAAACATAGCCTAATTTGTCTTGTAAATGCTTTTTCAAAGAGCTTACAAGAGGTGTAGGGCTAAGTGAACAAAGCCAAAAATAAAAAACAGATTGTCAAGTGTGTCTGCCAAGCTAACGTTGTCTACATGCAATTGTCTTCCTTGAAGAAAAGGAAAGTAAAATATAGGAAGGGATGGATACCTTGTCATGTATTTGTTACTTTAAAACACCAACCATTATTATGGCAGCCATTAAAAAAAGAGATTTATGTCAATTTTACTAACGGAGCTGTGTAAATTGCAGAGAAGTACATTTCCATGGACAAGAAGTTCAGCCAACATGAAATAAAAGAACACAATAAAAAAAAATTTATTGGACTTAAAGAATCCCCAAGTGGTCCAAAAAAACTTCAGCATACAAATTCTAGCAGAAGAAGCTGTTGTCTATTTCAGAGCCAAGAGGACAAAGGAAGATAAACAGACAAACCAGATGGGAAGTCTGAGAAGGACTCTAGCAGATGCAATGAAGAGAAAACTCCTATGGTGAAAGTCTCTGTTATTAGATTGAACACTTTTCATCGACAAAACCTTATTCCAACTGCTATAATGAGATTTGGACATTTCAGATTAAGAAAAAAAGAAATGTTTGGCACACTGAAGTGCAAACAAACGTATGCAAAGTATGATGTAAGAACGCCATCACTTCAATTAAAGGGGTAATTCCCAACTGGCAAGATGGGATTTTAATAAAATTTGGCTGTCTGTGCAATAGAAGCAATTTGTTTATTTTTAATTTTTAACTGGTGCTACATTAATGGAGAAAAAAAGAGAAAAGGGCTGAAAAAGGTAGGAAAACTTCAACACCCATAATGCACTGGGCTCGATCAGACTATCCATGAGTGAACATACAAAAATCCAGAAGTATGATCTGTAGTCTTCACAAAAGCCACATATTACATTATTTGGCAGACTTTTGCTGACAAATAAACGGGATCTTGGTGCAGGCTACAAGGAAAAACAATACACGTTGTTAATTTTTTATTTATACAACCAACATTGTAACAATGCAAAGCTGGTTGAAAATCAGCGAACTTGCCCTTTAAGATGAACTCATTCCTCTTGCTTTGTTTGCTTACAGTTAAATCTATTCTGATGAGGCCTGGTGTTTGCCCTTCAAAACACTTCAATGATTTATGGGGGAATCCTTTGAGTGGCATGTTTGAATTATACATTTACAGATATTTACAGTTCTCTCATGTTTTATCTTTTATTTATTAAATAAATTTTTTTTTAGTGCAGGTTAAGAGGAGTTGAGACTAAAAGATGTAGAGGAGGCATAATTTCCATCAATTCCTGTTCCAAAGTTACTCATTTGTACTGTATTTGAAATCCCTAAATAAAGTTTCTAACAGCACCCCTTCAGCAGCTTAAAGGAACAGTTCACCCAAAAATAGAAAATGAATGGGAAAAATTGTAAAAATGATACACTCTTACAATTATGTAGTTATTATTTCTAAATAATAATTACTAAAGTATACATTTATAAAGTATTTATTTAACTGTAATTTATCTTATAGCATATAAAGTAATATATATTACAATTTTACAGTAACATATTGTTTTCAAGTGTTTCCAGTTGACATTTCGCTGCATGACCCATCATATTTTATGATATTTTATTTAAATTGTATGCTTGTTGTTAGTTATGTTGTTAGCAATGCAAAGTGTTTAACCCACCATTATATCTTGTTATTTCTGCTGTAATTCACAAATATCATTTGCGAATGAGCATATTTTAACTTGGCACATAAAACCTCACACAAAATGATAGATTTTGTTGCATGAACTGCTTTTATGCTGATTTTTGGAGCTTGACATCCTATATAATGCTATGTAAAGCAGCATCAACATTCCGCTAAATATCTCTTTTTTGGTTTCACATCATATATAGGGTTACACAGGTTTTGAACGACATGGGGGAAAGTAAACGAAGACAGTGAGTAAATGAGGACAAATGAGTTCTCATTTATGAGTGAACTATGTTTTAAATGTCTTTTTGAATGGAATGAACCTATACAACCTTTCAGATACCTAGATCTAGATCTTCAACCACTAGGCTGAACGATATTCTCTAGGTTTCACTGTACAGAAAAGGGTTTTATGATATCTGTAGTGTAATCACTTTATACCATCAGGTATACCTGCCTTTACGAGCACTTCCCTGATAAGATAACCACACACATTAAGCTGTTTCCATGTAAACATTCCCAAACAGTAGAAAGTTTTAACTGGATAATGTTATGTTGTTATAAAAAGCACACCAATTCAGAGGCCGTAAGCAAACAGGGCCCTCCTCATGTTCTCCTCAATGTCCACGTTTGATTTTTTTGCACAAGACTGTGAACCCTTATGGTGTTAGGTGTTGGTCTAATTGACTTCAAGGGGCCCTAGACAGCTGCCTACCTTTGCCTAGCGCCGAGTCCGCCCATGCAGATCACCATTCGTGTCCGGGATGGGAGCCAGATTGCTCCATGTTCTCTTTTGCTTTGAGGGAGTGGTATGAACCAAAGCAAACACAAACTAATCCGAACTCACTTTTCTCCTGTCTGTTGGGCTGACTGTTTCTCTTGTGCTATCATTACCATTACGCAGAATAATTACATCAGCTGCAGCCACTTCCAGGCATTGATCTGTAACTCGAATCAATCCTCTGGAGATACAAGGGGATGAAATGGTGATCTATGGTGGAGTGTGAGGGGAAAACCCTGACTTTCAGGCACCATAGGAGTTCCAGTCTGTAGAATAGTGGGACAGTTCCTGGTATAGCTGCATCTCTTCCTTCTAAGTGCTCTAATGAGATAGTGGACAAGAAAAAAAAAGTCCATGGGATGCTGCATGTGACAAACGGGAATATGAAGATGTGCGGCGTATGTGTAACGAGTTTATAATTAAAGACACGGCGATGTAAGCCCTCGAGGGACGACTCCTT